TAGCATACTCAATACTGTGGGCAATCCCCACAGGAGCAATTTGGGGTGAAGTGTCTCAGGGACACAATGACATGCTGACTGCTGTGGGGTTTGAACCTGTGCTCCCCTGATCCAAACACCAACGCACTAGTCCACTGCGCCACAGCCTCCCTGATATACACCTGGAAATGATAATATGTCCTCTTTTGACCATTTACAATGATGGTTCCTATGGAGTCAGGCCTACTTCAGCTCACACACCGTGGCGTTGTCTCCGTTGGAAAAGTGAAGGGCCAGACCAGCGTAGAGCGGCTGAGTGAAAGTGGTCTGCACTTTGTGGATGAACTTCATGGTTTCCCCCACGTCGTAAAACGACAGAACACCAGCCTTATGATCCAGGAACACTCCCACTTTGTAAGACGACTTAACCGAGATTGGCGTGTGGATATCGTCATGTCTGAATTCAAATTCATGATGACAAAATAACGCCCAAGACTTCTCGTTGTACCCAAATGCACAGTCTTTAGAGGTATTATGTCTTTGCATATCCTTGTATGCTACAGCTACTGTTAATAGTGCATCGTACTCCACCTCGAAGTAACAACGTCCAGTCAGACTCTCTCTACTCAGGACCTGATGTAAACCGTTGAATCTCTCTCGGGACGGAAAACACATTTCCAATAAAGGAGTTGTTGTTACTTTGCGGTACCTCTCAGAAAACAACATTATGCTCGTGTTTGATGAGTTTGGATCCAGCGTGATTTGACTGGCATACCGTAAGAACTCCTCTCTGGTCCTCAGTTGTTGCGACAGAAAAGCATCCACTTCAGTGACTGTCCGTAAAATCTTCGGCCACTTCTCCATCAGAACTTCCTGCAGTTTATCTCGGACTTCCGACACAGCTGTTGTCACGTCCTCAAAGTACTGCAGAGGACGGATTTTAGGGCTGGGTAACTCTGAGGATTCACCGAGAGGCGAGACTGAGGAGAACTTTTCTAGAAGCTGGGTGTGATCGTCTGTGTGTTGAAGCAGCTCCAGCTCAGAGTCTTTCTTCTTCAGCTCAGCCATCTCCTGCTCCAGCTTCTTCTGAAACTCTTTGACTCGACGCACTTCACTTTCCTGCTGAGATTTAACCTTCTGCCTCACATCAGAGCTTTTCTTCTGGATGAAGCGGATCAGTTCGATGAAGATCTTCTCACTGTTCTTCACATCTTTATCAGCAGAGCGATTGATGCCATCCACCTCCTGCTGAAGCTGCTTCATAACTTCCCTACTGCTGTGGATTCTCTGCTGGATGTTTAGTCGTCTCACCTTGATCTCTTTCTGCCTCTCAGTCCTCTCTGCTGCAGCTGACACCGTGTCGTGGCCTTTGTGTTCGTCCACAGAGCAGAGAGAACAGATACTCTGCTGATCAGTGCGACAGAACAGCTTCATCACCTCGTCGTGACGAGAGCAGATGTTCTCCTGGAGCTTCTTGGAGGGCTCCACCAGCTTGTGTTTCTTAAACGTAGCCGAGTCATGATGAGGCTGGAGGTGTTTGTCACAATAAGAGGCCAGACACTGCAGACAGGACTTACAGGCTCTCAGTTTCCTCCCAGTGCAGAAATCACAGGCCACATCTCCAGCTCCAGCATAGCAGTGATCAGCAGGAGCAGCTTGGAGTCCAGTCTTCTTCAGCTCCTCCACTAAATCTGCTAACATGGTGTTCTTCAGCAGGACAGGCCTCGGTTTGAAGCTCTGCCGACACTGAGGGCAGCTGTAGACTTTCTTCACATCCTCTTTATCCCAGTGGGTTTTGATACAGTCCATGCAGTAGCTGTGTCCACAGGAAGTAGTCACCGGATCCTTTAGTAGATCCAGACAGATCGGACAAGAGAAGGTTTCCCGGTCCAGCTGAACTCCTTTCTGCGCCATTTCACCTCTCAGTGACAGCGAGTGTCCGAGTTCCACTTCCTGAGAGCTGGAACTAGTGTGAGTGTGATCTGAATAGCATGTGTGTGTGCAGTGAATCACTCGTTACACCCATCCTCCAGCTGCAGCTCTACAGGGGAGGGAACCAGGAAGTATGACGCAATTCATAAGGGGGAGCGTTGTTAAAGAGACAGTACGTTCCAAAGTCCACTCTCGGCTTCCTTCAGTAAATGCGAGTTTTCAGGCTGATCCAACTGTAACACAAGGTGCTTTGAAGGCTGACTTAATGAGCGATATATTTTCTAATTATATACCTTTGTATCTTATCTTATCTTTCCAGTCAGGCTGTTTTGATATAAGCAGAGCTGGAAAGTACATTTACTCAATTATTGTAGCTCGGTAGTTTATCGACATATTTATACTTTGAGTATTTCTATTTAATGCTACTTTATACTTACACTACATTTCAGAAGCAGATACTATTTTTCCTCCAGTACGTTTATTTTACTTTGTCCATAAACACATGACATGATGATAGGGTATCAGGAAATACTTTACTACTAATCCACACAGTATGCAAATGTTGTCCAACTTGACCAAAGACTAAATGTTCCGACATGTATAAATAACTGGATAATATAATAACCATCATGTGTCTGTATTTTTGTATATGTACTGTAGTATATGTAATGTTATAATTTGTATATTTATGTTTTAAGACACCCTTGAGAATGAGATGCTACATCTCAACGGGCTATCCTTTCGAAAAATAAATAAATAATAATAAAATACTTTGAAAAGATCCATTCTGCATATCGAGTGATATACCTGATGGTATTTTTGTACTACCATTGTGCAGAATGAATAATTGTACTTCTTACACTACAAGTATATATTGATGCTAATACTTTGTACTTTCCCTTAAGTATTTGTTTGTAATTCAGGTCCTTTACTTGTAATTCATTATTTTAGAACCATAGTACAAGGTTGTTGGAAAACGTTGTTCACACCCACTAAACTTTGGATCCAGATTACGATCATAACACTGGGTGCAGGAGAACCAGGTTGAATAACAGGATTACAAATAGAACACAATAATTTGGATTAGTAAATTATTTTTTTGCCTTTTCACTTTTCTTTGAGATAAAAAAA